CTTACCTTGTTAGAGTTATAATTTCCTATATTATATACTTGTTAAACTATGTTCTTTGTGTTTTCAATTTTAATATCATTAATTATTTACCTGAAAATGATCATACTATCTAACACAATCTACAGATTCATCGCAATTTTTATCAAAATGCCAACGTCACTTTTCCCAGAATTAGAAAAAAACTATCCTAAAATTCATATGGAACAGAAAAAGGGCCTGAATAGCCAAAGTAATTATAAGCAAAAAGAAACTGGAGGCATTACATTACCTGACTTCAAATTTTACCACAAGGCTATAGTAACCAAAAGAGCATGGTTCTGGTATAAAAATAGATGCATGGATCAATGGAACAGAATAGAGATCCCAGGAATAAAGCTACATGCTTACGGCCAACTGATCTTTGACAAAGTTAATAGAAACATACAATGTGGAAAGGACACCCTATTCAATAAATGGTCCTGGAGCCCTAACTCTCACCATATACCAAAACAAACTCAAGATGAATTTAAAATTTAAATGTAAGAGCTGAAACTATAAAAAATGCTAGAAGAAAACCTAGGAAAAGCTTTCCTGGACACTGGCCTAAGCAAACAATTCATAACTAAAAGTTCAAATGCAAATGTATCATTAACAAAAGTAGATAAATGGAACTTAATTAGACTAAAACACTTCTGCACAGCAAAATAATCAACAGACTGAACAGACAACCAAAGGAATGGGAGAAATTATTTGCAAATTATGCATCCGACAAAGGGCTATAATATCCAGAATCTAAAAGGAACTCGAGCAATTCAACTATAACAACAACAACAACAACAAAACAAATAACCCTATTAAAAAGTGGTTAAAGAATATGAACACTTTTCAAAAGAAAACATACAAATGGCCCACAAGTATATAAAAAAGTTCAAAATAATCACAAGAGAAGTAAAAATCACAACGAAATACCACCTTACATCAGTTAGAATGGCTGCTAGTAAAAAGCCAAACAATAACAGATGGCAAGGACGTAGAGACAAGGGAACACTTATACACTGTTGGTGGGAATGTAAATTAGTACAACTTCTATGGAAAACAGTACGGAGGTTTCTCAAATAGCTAAAAATAAAACTGCCATTTGATACAGCAATCTCACTACTGAGTATATTCACATAATGGTAAGAAACATCATTATATCAAAAACATACTGCATATGTAATGTATGTTTATAACAGCAATATTCACAATAGGAAAAATATGGAATCAACCTACGTGTTCAACAACGAATGACTGGATAAAGAAAATGTGGCATACACACACACACACACACACACACACACACACACACACCATGGGATACTACATAGCCATAGAAAATAATAAAATCCTGTTTTTTGTAGTAACATGGATGAAACTGAAGGCCATTATCTTGAGCAAAAAATCTCAGAAAGTCTGTTACCACCTGTTCTTACTTATAAATAGGAGCTAAATAATGTGTACACATGGGCATATTGTGGAATAATAGACATTGGAGAATTGGAAAGGTGGGAGGAGGGTAAAGGATGATAAATTACTTAATGGGTAAAATGTACACTATTCAGCTAATGGTTACACTAAAAGTCCAGACTTCACCACTACACAATATATCCATGTAACAAAACTGCATTTGTATTCCCTAAATTTACACAAATAAAAAACACAGCCCAAACAAGTCAAGTAGAACCAAATATCCAGTTTTCAGCATTCCTTAAATATAAAAATATCCAGTTTTCAGCATTCCTTAAATATAATTAATACCTATGTTAAGGGAGCTAGGATGCAAAGATTGATTTAAATAAAAGTCTTCATTTAAATGAGAAGTGAAAGTAAAGCAAAGATGGGCAGTTTAAACGTATGTTCACTCTTCAAGATATCAGTTAGGTGACTGTGTATTTTATGCTCCACATACATATATGACTTGAGATCCTTCACTACATATGTTTTGTCGTTAGTTTCATAATGTTACAAAGTTATCCAAAAATTCCTGGCTGAACTTGATTTTGAGCAATCTACCATCTGATTTGGGGACAGTTACCAAGACAGAAAACCCTTGAATGAATGAGGAGGAATTATCTTTCTGTCTATTTGCCTGTTACTGTCAGGGTATTTCCCATTGCAGAGAGGATTCTGATTTTATTTCCTTCCACAACAGAGGCCTCTTTCATCCTCTTGCTTTATTTCGGGGGGGGGGCGGGGGGAAATTACTGCCAAAGTCTTCAGATGTGGTGGCAGAGAGAACTATAATGACGGCTTCTGCCTTCTTCCTGTATACTTAAAATATTCAATTCAAATGTATTACCCACCATATCCCAAATTGCACTTTCACCTCTTAACCTAGTAGGCTAGCTGTGCTTTTGCATATTTTCAAACTCCCAAAGTAAGATCTGCTTCCCCTCAGCATAACTCCAACTTTAAAAGTGGAAGAAAGTAATTGGGAATGTTGTTTCAAATGTACAAACCCTCTAGTTCCATTCCTCTAAATCAACTGGGTCGGAAAGCTTGACTCACTTTGATGTAAACATTAAAAGACTAAATAACAGACCTATAGGAGTAAAAAAAATACCAAATATCTTGTATATACTATAGAGAATAAGTGTTCATACAAGTAAAGATTAAGTGTAAATATAACTGTTAACAGCATAAATGTCTTAATGATATCTATGATGCATAAAAACTTACAAAAATTTTCTCTATTTTCAATAATAAATTCCTAATACTACACTTTACTCTGATTTCAATTATTTTGTCAAAAGCAAATTTTATCTTAACTCTATCCTCCTATGAGCAGGTCATAAAAATAAACGACATGGATCCTTATTGGTATAATCAATACCAAAATATTTCATTTTTTAGTATCTTTTTATATGAATATAGCTCATATATTTTATTTTTAGTGTTCATTATTACAAAAAATAACCTTAAGGAATGAGACAAACCCATTCCTACATGTAAAATTTTAATTATGCCTCACAGATGTGTACTTTTAATTAACTAGTGACATTTCTTTTGTTCAATTATTATTGTTCCATACAACTGTCATAAACTTATAAATTATAATTTAGCCTGCCCCAAACCCTAGTTATATAGTGTCCACATAGGAATTTGCCAAAAGGCTTAACTGTAAGTAAACCAACAATGAATAAATCCATTAATTGCTCACTGGGATTTGTTTAACAAATTAACATTTGTGTGGAGATAATGAGGTTCTACAGTCTATAATACCAAACAATGTTTTTATAAAACCACATTTTAAAAGTGAAAAATGATGCTTTTTAAGTGACTTAATTACATATCATATAATTATTATTAGATGCTGTAAAATAAACTACATGTCTGTATCTCATATTGAATTCATATGAGAACTCATTTATATTAAAAAATATTTTTCCTGAACATATTATTTATGTAAATCAGGATATAATTGTGTGCACAGATAAAGTTGAACAGATTTTGAGCACGCTCCAAAGTTTAGACAAATGAGTTGAACAAAACACTAAAAGTTGTGCTGTATCTATATACAACTCTGGATGCATCAACAAGACAGCAGATTCAATGTTTTATAGAGATTTATCCCTGCGGATGCGTTGCAGGTTCAATAGATAGCAATAGTGTGGAATTTCAAATTGTTTACTTGGCCTAAATATTTCTAAATATAAATATAGATAAATCATCCAGCTATAACACCATGGTTTTCATTATCTCAATGAGAAAATTAAGTTACCAATTAAATAATAAAATTTCCAAACAATTCATTTTTTATGAGAAAAAGTTTTCTTCCTAAAGGAGATATTATGTGTGTTACTAAAATACACTCACATATTCCTATAGTAACAGAAAATACTTTATGATCTAGCCTCCCTTAGGAGAATAATCTGTGCCTTTTATATTTCAATCTAATCAAACTCCTGAATATTTTTTCAGAATGCTATTAGTTAGAATAATTCCATTATGAATTAATAAGACAAAATATAGACATAAAATTATCAAACTTTTCCTATTAGAATGCATTTCAGAAACAGCTTGACTTTTCTGATCCACACTGAAAATTCTTTATGTAACTCTTTCAGTTAGCAATCCATTAAATACTTCAAAACGTAGCATAAACAATAGAAGCAGTAAGAACTCCCAGCAAGATAGAAATTAACCATGTAGGGGAATGTGAAAATAATATAGACTGATTTTCCATTTGACTAAATTTGCATTTATGGTAGTAAAATTAAATGCTCTTGAATCACAATATAATAGTTGCATAATATCCCTTGCACTGAATATTGGAATTTGCAAATTAGATTTTATTCATTGGGGTTATTTTTTTCTTATGGAATGTATTTTAAATTTAATACAAGTCAGTGGAAGAATATGTTTCTATGTTCGTTTATGTGCTGCACAGAACACTTTCTGCAAACATGGCTATTGTATAAATTAATAATAATCTCAAATATATCCTAAGATGTAGAAATCTTGAATTTTCAAAGCATGTTATATGACACAGTGTGATGCCAAAAGAGTAGTCACAATTTTTGATGGGAATCAGGATGCTATCAGATTCTCTGTTACTGTTTATTTACATTTAAAATAATTCTAATTTTCAATAACAATTGATTTTTAGCATTAGGAAAACTATTTGTGCAACAATAACAACAACAACAAAAATCCATAAACTTTGGGGTAAAACATAGTAAGCCTGGAAAATTGGCTCTACTAATTCTGAGCCAGGGGCAAATTATCTATAAACACTGAGCCTGTCACATGGTACATGCTCAACCCAGAGTAATGACCATTAGTATTGTTACATTTTTGGCTTGAACTTTTATATACTGAATTTAGAACAAATGCCATTGATTTAATTTTGTGTTAGTATATTGTGTTAGTCTATTCTTCATTAAGATACTAGGAAGTATGATTGTAACATTAAGTATTTTTGATTCATATATAAGAAAAAATGCAAAAGATTTGAAATACAATGACACTGAAATATTTACCTAGAACTGATGGTACGCAAGTTCCTCCATTCTGGCAGTAGTTGCTACAGTGGTTGACTTCACATCTTTCTCCTGAATAACTAGGCCAACAGTGACACCTCAAATCACCCTTCTCATTTAAAATGCATCTTCCTCCATTTTCACAAGTTAACTTACATGAATCATCTGTTTATGAGAAGAAATGTACAAATTAGCATGTTTTCAGGTAGTAATTTAATATAGATATTTCAAATAGATACAATATTTAAATACTAGGATCTTTTGTTTCCATAAAATAATTACCCCAAGTACAAAAGTAGAAAAAATTAAATACTATCTGAAAACAGATAGATTCTAGTTGTTGAATGGTACATGTGCATATTAATGTTGAATGGTAAATATACATATTCTTCTTTAAATTTAAAGCATTATTAACTTTTTCTTATATTTGTAAAATATTGAATAGTAAAACTAACTGAAACTTTCTAAAAGTAATATATTTTCATCTTCTTTCGTTCTTTTATTTTATTGAGACAGGGTCTTGCTCTGTCACCCAGACTGGTGGGCAGTGGCATGATCACAGCTCACTGAAGCCTCAACTTCCTTGGCTCCAGTGATCCTATCACCTCCACTTTTCAAGTAGCTGAGACTATAATTTTTTTAATTTTTTGTAGAGACAGGTTCTTACTATGTTGCCTAGGCTTCTAAAAGTAATATATTTTCCAACCAAGAAATTTTCCTTATAATATGGACAAACATATTAACATATGTTAACTACATATTAACTACTCCTAAAAACATATTTTTAGGAGTAGTTGATATTAAAAAAGAAAACTTTAAATTTGTAAGTTACATTTATAGCATATGCACACACACACACACTATTCGTTCTATAGTGTATGCATGTGTGAATATACATAATATAGAGAAATGTTTACATGAAGAGATACTCTTTGATGTTGTTCTCTATTAACCATATATAAATGTCCCAAACTAAAAGTCATTGAGATTTGGTACAAGTTGGTTATAGAACAAAGTTAGAAACATTTCCGTATGTAACATTTGTCCCAAATGATTCTGTACAGTCTACCTACTTAATAACATTTTCACTCAGAATAAAAAAGGCTGGACATTCCTTGGGGTAGCAAAATTCTTTTTAACAATATGGTAAGTATGATTTATGATAAAGATAGGCTTGGAATCATTTTCGAGGTTATTTTGCTATACATATTGACATGGCCTTCTCCATTAGAAATGCTGCTTTGCTTTGAACAACATACAGTGTTCAATGGAACAAAACTGATTGAGATAGTTGTAATAGGCATTCTATTCTATAATATGCCCTTTACTATAATAATGCCCATTTTATAGTTAAAGTAGGTAAAATCAAAGCAATCTATAATCCTTATTCAAGATGCACTGGCACATACATGACAGAAGCTTGAATATATCACTGCAATGATTTCAAGAGCATCTTTAAGCACCTCAGTGGCTTCAAATGACACAATGATTTAAGTATCATGTCCACGGTCATAAATAGAAACTGTCAGTAGTGCCATACAATTCTGAGACTTGTCTCATTGAAGAGAAAAGTTTCTAATACATTGTCACGTAGGCAGGCTTCAGATTGGCATTACTGAAGTTTGTATTAATATGAAGAATTCTCTCATGATGTAAAATAAGTGCATTATAAAAAATTACAGTGGTATAATGAGACCTGTGTTTAGGTCCTGGTTCTGTCGCTTACTAGACATACAAGTTAACTGATTTTAGCCTCAGTTACTTCACTTTAAAATGTCCTTAATGACAACTATACAAGCTAACTCAGGTTTATATGAATAGTAAATAAGAAATGGGAAAAACTATAAAATATAAGATTATAACACTTTTTATATGCTATTGACCTAGTGCCCACAAGGTTTACTGAGAATGGAGCTCCAGTGGAATAATATACAGGAAGACCTACGGGTGAGCTCTGGAGGAAATGAATGAAAGTCACTGTGAGTGGACCTAGATCGGAGAGGGTAAAGAAATGAATCATGATAGGTAAAAGTTTTTGAAGAAATAAGCAGTGAGTAAGAGAATATCCATGGATTTTAGACTCCACCCCAAAAGTAATGTGGTGTCTTGGAAAGGTAATGTACTGGCAGGGGTTAAAATGGCAGCTTAAAAAAGCAGGAAGGCTCTCAGAACTTTGTATACATTATTCAGGATAGGTAAGATGAGGACCCAAAATAGAGTAACATGGGATGAATGAATGTGGATGTATTCTGACGGTCATTTGGAGGTAAAAATCACAGCAGTGTTATGTGAAGAAAAATGAGGAATGCCTACAACTATCTCAATCAGTTTTGTTCCATTGAACACTGTAGGTTGCTCAAAGCAAAGTAGCATTTCTAATGGAGAAGGTCATGTCACTATGTATAGCAAAATAACCTCGAAAATGATTCCAAGACTATCTTTATGATTCTTCAGTTTCTGACCAGGACAATTAGGTGGGAACACAAGGATGACAGGAAATGGAGGGGTAGTTTTGAGGTGGCATACTAAACTGAAGATGCCCATGCAAATATAAGTGGGAATCTCCAGCAAATTATTGACTACAGAGATCAGACTCTCAAGAAATATGTGGAGTGGAAATATGCTTGTTTAATTTAAAATTTACCAAAACATTTCTATCTCAGTCAACATTATTTGTCCTAATAAAGGTTGTGGATGTGGACAGTGAAGATAAACACTTAAGGCATCATGATCACAGGTAGGATTATTATGGGGTACTCATTTTTACCTGTCAATTCTATGAAAACTACAAGGATATTCAAAATCCCTACATGTTGGGGCATGCACATTACTATAACGTGCCTCATTAGGCACCAGAAATTTTAAAGTACAACATTGCCTGATGAAATGGAAGTGGAGTTACATTCTTGCAAAACTCATAATAATGGTTCTACAATGAAAAAAAGAGCTGCTTTTGTCAATAACTAAATCACCCCCAGAAGCCAACCTCCAGCAATTATAATCAACTATAGGAAAAAGCAGGTGAACGCTTCCCTAAGAATGAATAATATTTGAATTTCAAATTCAATACACAAAGCGTTATTAAAAATGTTCAGTGCACTCATCATTTAACAATAGCAGCTAGAGGTAGACAAATAATTATAAACAAATGAAAAGCATATAACATTGGCTATAGCAAACGTTAATGTCAGAAAAAAATAACTGGCATTTATCTTCACCAATCAATAATTCTGAAATCCACTCATTTATGTTCCAACTAAAATGGTCCAAACTGTTTATGTTTCAAGACCTACAATGTGTAAAGGCTAATTTGAGTGTTGTTTTCACTTTGATTAAATGTAAGATTTTCTCTTAAGTTACAAGAATGGGCTTTGAGGTTTCTGAAATCATGCCTTTTAAGCAGGGTTGAAAGAGCAAAACACATCTCCAAAAAAAGTTTTAGATCATGGATAAGTGTGTATTTAGATAAGCAAGATTCCTTCTTTCAAGCATAAAATGATACAATTTAGTGACTTAATGCAGCAAAAAACTTGTTTCGTTTTCTTACCTACTTCAAAGTGACATATTGATTTTAAAGGGCTATGTGTCTATTTTTCAAGGTATCGTGCTAGCCATTCTATCCATGTTATTGCTAGAATTTCCAGTAACTCTGGAAATGGGTACTCTGGGTGACACAGAGACACTGGGACATATTGTGTGATGATTAAGAGAGTGGACCACCTACATTCACCCTGAGGTGCCATCATTTACTAAGTAATGTTAGACAATCAAATGAGCTTCTAATGCTTCCATTTTATCTGTAAAATAGGAGAAATTAGTACATAATAAAATTTGAAGATTAAATTAATATATATGTCTATAAACATACATAGAATTATGCTTTCCTCATAGGTTTTCAAAATATTTAGTATTATTTCTACTGTCAGTGATAGTAATATTAGTAGTAGTTATTGTTAGTTCTATGTTGTATAGAATAAACTGAGACCAAGGGAAGCAGGTATACAGTCCAAGCACAACAAAGTTATTTAAGTGGTAGACCTTGGCCTACTCTAAAACTTCATCTCAGCCCTACACTAGGTCATGTCCTTGCAGGGTATTCACAGAATTTAGGTTGTTGGATACATAATTTGGATCAAAGAAAGAGGAAAAAGGAAGAGGATTGCATAGAAGAGGTTGTGGAAACACGGGATTACACAGAAGAGGATTACATAGAAGAGGAAAGGAAAACCAACAAAAACTGTCTGAACTTGACTCTAAACAATGGTTGTAACATCAGAGCCAATGTCAAAGTCCCTTGGTAGCATTATTAGTTTATTTCTGTGCATTATACTAACCTCTCTCCTAATTGCTTCTCTCACCCAAATTTTCTAAGTAGACACAGTACACAGGAGGCACCTGTGAGGGCAATGGGTAAGGGATTATGTGGGACTACTGAAGGTATGACATTTTTACAGAAAAGTTGTTCACAGTTAAAGGATCTGTTTCTGAGAGGTTAAGTGGAATAGATACCTTTGCAGAGTCTTCCTCTGTGATGCAGTCAGAACAGCATTTGAGAAAGTGGTACTAACAATGTTTGGAAATGTTCACTGGATGCTCATACTCTCCCATCACAGTTGAGATAACAGCTACTCTAATTGGGAGAATAGATAGAGGGGAAGGGAGCATCCTCGTGCCATGACGGCATCCCTTTTCAATAACTGGCACCAAAGTGTCCGCCCAAAATATCAATCATGATTCACACTTAGCTTTCTGTTACGAACTTTGCAACCTTATTACCCAAAACAGGGCTTCACACTTATACACACTAACTACAATGAATGACTCATTATTTTCTTAACCCACCATGTTTCCATACTTCTCAGACAGATTTTCTGTCTCAGTGTCCTCCTCCCTCCTTCCCATTTAATCTAAATCCAATCTGCCTTTGCAGACCTTGTTTAAACGTCATATCCTATAGGAAATTCTGACTGATCCCCTATTTGAATAATAATCTGAATCCTCGTAATAGTTTTAACTCTGTCTCTTCTGTGACTTGTGTCACTGTCCACATAAATATCTATTTATTGATGCTTATGTTATTCATCAGTTCATCTTTTGAACCCCTTCAGCTCTGCATATCATATGCTTAAATAATATACATTAAATGAAAGTACTATAATAGTTTTAGACACTGAGTGCCTTATAAATGTCAGAAGTCTTCAAATTGGATGTAACCTTCAGCAGAGAACAAAGAGAAAAATCATGCAGAGGTGGAGATGCTGACTGTGGGTAAGGACCCAGAATCCATGTGAGGAGTGTATTCTAGCAGAGGGAAATACAATAGGTAACAAAGCCTGCCATGAATAATGTCTGTACCTCATTGGAAAATGTTTGCTGTGATCCTCCAGTGATTTTGGAGCACTACTTTTTTTTTTTTTCCTTTTTGTGGAGAATGGGTACTTGCTATGTTGCCCAGGTAGGTCTCGAACCCCTGAGATTAAGCTGTCCTCTGGTCTCTGCCTACCTAAGTGCTGTGATTACAGGTGCAAGGCACCGTGCTTGGCAAGAGCACTGCCTTTGTGTCTGTGACATAAAATTTAGTATGTGTGGCCAGGCGTGGTGATTCATGCCTGTAATCCCAGCACTTTGGGAGGCTTAGGCAAGCAAATTACCTGAGGTCAGGAGTTCGAGATCAGGCTGGCCAACATGGCAAAACCTCATCTCTACTAAAAATACACACACAAAATAAAATTATCCAGGCATAGTGATACACACTTTTAGTCCCAGCTACTCGGGAGGCCGAGGCAGGAGAATTGCTTGAACCCAGGAGGTGGAGGTTGCAGTGAGCTGAAATCATGTCACTGCACTCCAGCCTGGGTGACAGCAAGACTCTGTCTCAGTAAGAATGAATGAATAAATGAATACAATAATTTTTTAAAGTATTATGTGTGGATTTTATCTTTTAGTAACAATATTTTTTCCATTATACCTAATGTTTTGAATATGAGGAAACTTATTTATTGTCAGTCTAGCTGGATATTCAAGAGACATATTTTCTTTCCCTGTGCTATCACACTGTTTTGTGTGTGTGTGTGTTTTTTTTTTTTTGGTTATTTAATATTTAGCATCTGAAGTAATGTTTCAATTTCTATTGATTATTCCAGCTTCTACCTTCTGAAATACAAACTGCATGGATGAAGAAATCTTATCAGTTTTGTTTCTAAGTTAGTTTTTAGTTTTTGCGTTAGTATTATGCCTTCTTCATAAGCCCTCAAAATATTTATTATTATTATTCTTTGTGGTAATAGCAGAAGTGGTAGTAATAGTAGTAGTAGTATTGTAAGTCCCATTTTACACAGAAGAAACTAAAATTTGGTTTCTAAATTCTCAATTTTTAAGTTAGTGCTTGGCACACAAGAGGTAATCAATAGAAACGTATTGAATAAATAAATGGATTTTTGGGCTGAGTTGAAACCCATAGCAGAATGTTCTCAAAAAATATTATTGTCTTATCTAATAGAAGAGTTATGAAAAAAAATTCTTTTGGGTCTGTGAGTGACTTCAAAGTTCTCGATTTGTTGTTAAGTGCCTGTAAGTGTTCAATGCTGCTTTGTGAACAAATGCAGAATGAATTGTTTGAAAGTCTTCTCCAGAGAAAAGAACAGTTTACACAGGCATTCAAGAACTGCTGCTATCAAGGTAGCTAGATTGCTAATGGAACAGATCATTTCACTCCATTTCACTAGTTGTGAAATTGTATGATAAGCATTAATTCATTATTTACAGAATAATAAAGTATACCTACCTAACAGGCTGTCATCATTGCAGGTGCCATTAATCAAATATTTTCCTTCCGGACACACACAAGTGGCCCCAGAAGGATTCAGCAAGCAGAGGAATTCACATCCTAAATCCGAGCATGGATTGGGTACTGGTTAAACAAACGAAAACAACACATTGTGTAAATATAGATACAACAGGCTTCAAAAGCATAAACTTAAATAAGGGGAAATGATTCATTAGCAATGTTGAAAAGTAATCACATCAAATTTCCACTGGGAGTATCTTACTCAATATCATCATTCTCCTTTATAGGTGAAGAAAAATTACTACCCAATGCTCATCATTAATAGTAAGTTTACCTTATTTATATTTTCCAAAGAGAGAAGAAATTATTCAGATCTATGCTTAGTTATTTTGCTTCTGACTAATTGTTTTTGGCATAAGAGTTGGTCTTAGAACCTGAAGTACCATTGGGGCTGTGTTGGAGAGTAAAGCCAATGTAAGTTTTGAGGGGATCTAGCCTTCACTTTAACAGCTTATTTCACAGAGCTGCTCTAACAGACAAAAACAATGCCCCCCTCGTATTTATTAATACAAAGGATTAAAATGCATATGTAGCTTGTCAGTTCAAGGTACAGATGGCTTCCTTTCCATCAAGTGGGAGTTTGTGTGCACGTGTAAATGTGTGTGTGCCATACTTATTTGTGTTTAAATTTTTATCCAATCGACATCCTTTGCAGTCATAGCTGATTATTGATCTTTCCTAGAGATTATTTCACCAGAATTAAACAGGAATGGCACCCAGGTAGCTGAGTTGGGGACTATGAGAGTGGCTTGTTTTCTGTAAGAACCACCACTCAAATGCCTATTATATTCAAGACAGGATTTTATTTGTTTACTTTTTATGAATGTGGCAATATTCAACTATGAATATAAATTAAACAGAACTGGAGGATGAGAGAAAGTGTCCTCATATTAACCTTGGAATCTTATATGCCAAATTATTGGTAAAGAGCAGCAAGGCTTTGGATAAAATTTCAGGACGATTTAGGAAACTATATTTTGTTTTATTCTGTTGTGAGAACTGATTTGAATAAACACCACTTGTTCCAGATAAATGCATCAAACAAGATAAAATCCATTTCATTTGCCATAAATAGTAATTATAAATAACCCTTGAACAGCAGCTTGAAGAGTGAACTGATATATAAATACAGATCATTAGAATTTCAGCCATATTATTATTTTTCACTTTGTTCTTCAATATTTTTGACAGCTGTGTTAGAAACATATTTTCAAGAGTATTACCTTAATTACCTTAATGATTTACCCACTCCTTTCTAGGAGGAAGAGTAACAATAATAAGTCATATACAATAAATCAGAGAAAATATGCAAGTCTTGGGAAGAGTTCTTTTTGTATATATTTAAGAATGGAAGGTTAATACTATAATAGTTACTTGTTGATTAGTAATAATAGTCAAAATGGCCAACAATAAATTTCCTTACTTGGATAGTTCATCTATACACTCACAAGGTTCTATTAAGAATTTTAGAAACAGATTAACAGATTATTGTAACAAAGCCAGTTTTAATTGCAAGAAAACATGGCCAAATGCTGAACATTTTCCTGGTTACAGCAGAAATATAATTATCTATATTTTGACGTTTTGGTAGTTGAAAAAGTCTAGTAACATAAAAAATTAAAGTTACTTAACTTACTGAGGTTAAGACATTTACATATATTTTTTGAGAGATATAAGAAAAAAATTTACCAGTATAGACATCTTCATAATATATTATACTTACAGTCTAGTTGTTTATAACGATGAGATATCAAAACACCTTTTGTTTTATCAATATTTAAAGCTAAGTACTCTACTGAACCATGGCCAAATTTTTGTACTCGAAATACACCATTTTTAGGTCCTGCTCCATATATATAATCTTCGAAGATATCAATTCTATGTGGATGTAATAAACCTGGAATTTCCAAAAGGCAGTTATGAAAGTTTTAATGTATACACTCAGACTTTAAAAACTATGTTTATCTGAGACCATATTGAAAATCTTATTACCGTTTAAACTTTCAGGATTGGAATATTTATAATATTAGCTATGACGTTCTTAGAATTATATCTTAAGTAAGGATATGCAATGTAGTAAACATGTTACTTAAAACATAAAAATACACTTCCATCATCACTTTAATCATCTTTACCATCACAAAGAATTTTCTGGGGGTTATTTGCAGACTAATCCTCTCTGCTATACAGAGAGGATATCTTATATCCAATGTTATCTGTAGTATAAAAACAGGCAGTTTACACAACTCAGTTTGTGTTCTGGATCAAATAAATGATCAAATTACATGCCCAAATGACTGGTTTATTAAGCAATCATTTGTTGATTTTTAAAGAGTGAATCCAAAAATAATATTTGACATTATTATTGTTCATTTCAGAAATGGAATAAAGAAAACAAACAGGTAAATTAAAATCATTTGTCTGATTAGTTTGGCTAAAAATAATAGTAACCATTATTTTCACATTTTGTGACTTATTTTCAGAGATTTTATCAAATGAATAATTATTCTAACTTTTGAAACAGAAATTTATAACAAATAAAATGACAATCTTTATATTTTTACTAATTATCTAGAGGTTGTAAAGCATAAAGTGTCTTTATATTCATATATTTTTCTTTGCTGTTTCATGAAATAGTAAAATGTGCACCAAAACCAGAACAAGTTAACTTCATTGTAATTAATTACAGGTATGTGAACTTTTTTTTTTTTTTTATCTGAGGCCATCGATAAAAACACACACACACACACACTTTAGGCAAAGGCACAATAAAAATTTGATTTAGTTGTTTAACTTCCCCGTTTGTGTTATTTAAAAACAAACAAACAAACAAAAAACAGGAAACAAATCTATATTCAATAAATATATAACATGCAAATACAAAAATTTAAAGTGGATCTGACGAAAAATTTGTGGTTACAAAAAAAATGTGGGAAGGGGTTGAAGTAGGGAAAAGAAAGTGACAGAAAGGGAAGAGATTAAATTCGGCAGAAAGAACTGAGACAGCCAGGCAGAAAAAAGTATGAGGAACAGAAGGGAGCTAGAAAAATGAGACAGTTAAAAAATAGAAGCCAGGCAGATAGGTGGGCATAAAAACAGTATAGCAACAGAGGAGCACAAGTAGATTCAGCAGTCACTGGTGGTAGAGTTAAATGGTCATTTTTGACGCATTGATACAGTAACTCATTGTTTGCTTGTTATCATTGCAATTGAAATAAAAGTTTGTGTTCACAGATGCTGATCTTGACTACTAGAAGTGCTCTGCTCAGAATGGAATAGCCACGGAAGCCACAGAGTAAAATTATTTTCTGAATCTGGACAGCAATGGCCATGTTTGTTCAAGTCAAGATGGACAAACTTTCAAGTCAAGATGGACACACTTCTGCCCTGACCTCTATGTTTTTCCAGTAGGAATGAAAATTTTAATTACTAGTAAGAGTTATAAGTTGAAAGGAGAAAGAATTTAAGAAAATCCAGAATGCAAAGCATCCATACTTACACTCTCAATAATAATTAAAAATGAAGACAAAAGCATTTCACAAACCTTGTTTGCTGCTGACAGAGACTATCGAGTTAGAGCCATCATACAGAACACTGCCAATGATGGAGAGCTCAAAGTCAGCCCAATATATGCGTTCACTAAAATAATCCACAGCCAAACCTGTAAAATCAACACACGCAAGACAAACAGTGTAAATAAATTTGAAATCATTCAAAATCATACTTTTGCTTCTTATTGTGTAATTACAGTTGACATTTGTCTTCAAGCATCATAGAAATTACCCGGTGCCAATCACGATACTGTAGAAATTAGAAAAATTAAAGTAACTCAATCTTTATCCCAAATACATGGGTTCAGATTACATGGCATTTAGTTAACAAACTCTAGCAAAAGTCTTATTTCACATAAGAAAGTCTGCTGTAAATACCCCTTCTAGCCATATTTATGGTTTCTTAATTTTAGCTATTCTCTAATAGACTTTCCTTTAATATTATTTCCATTTTCATCTTCATATTTTATGGAGAATGAATTAATTATTTAAATCATTTATCGGACCATTATTTAAAATGAGTTGGTATAATTATTTGTATTTTTAATTCCTTCAAGAAGGTATAGTTCTCAGAATACACAAGGTTCATGTATTTAATTAAAATATATTTTCACCCCTTCAGAGTTGGCCAACGGTGTTATCGATCGGACATCTGTGGGCATGCTGAAGTTAATGTGACTAACGATTGATATTAGCCGGGTGTGGTGGCTCACGCCTGTAATCCCAGCACTTTGGGAGGCTGAGGCGGGAGGATCACGAGGTCAGGAGATTGAGACCAGCTGGTCAACATGGTGAAACCCTGTCGCTACTAAAAATCCAAAAATTAGCTGGGCGTGGTGGCCGGCACCTGCAATCCCAGCTACCCTGGAGGCTGAGGCAGGAGAATCGCTTGAACCTGGGAGGCAGAGGTCAGCAAGGATCAGCCTGGGCAACAGAGTGAGACTCTGTCTCAAAAAAAAAAAAAAAAAAAAGAAACCAAAAAAGAAAAAAATGATGTTTATGGTAGGGAAGAATAAACAGTAAAGTTCTTGATTAAAGTTCTAGTGATGCTTGAATTAATTTTCTCTGAGACTGCTTGTCTTCAGTTTCATTACAGGTAGATTCAGTGAATGATAATGGACTGAAATAATATAGAGTAAAAATATTTTTTTAGTTTCATTTTTTGATTTCATGAATGTAATTGGAATCCATCCAGTGTCTTTTTGTAGGAACATCATCAACACATAGAATATCTAAGAAAGTAAACTTCTTTCAATATGGAAGAGTAATATGTCTGACTCATGAATTCTATAATAAATATTCACTGCTGTAGATTTTTTTTTGTGACATAGCTGCTGTCTAAATATGACATATTGCATACTTTGGAAGTACAATGTAGTTAAATGCCTTAGGCAACTAAAGAGTGTTCCCAATGAGAACATTCAAGAAGCAACTGAAGTACATTTTAATGGCAATGCAACTGAATGAAAGGTATTTTTGAGTCTGTGCTAGACTTTTATTCCTGTGTAACTGGACCAAGACTTAATAATCAGAATGGAAATAATTCATATTAGAAATCATTAGTGAATAATTCTTCAGTTAAGTACAAATACTTAGCTCACATGTAATCAAATTAAATATTTTGTTCCTCAAGTAATGTATAGAGATGTACCATGCCTGACCAGATCCTGAAAAGTAACAATTAAGCAAGTGGCCATTGTTTTACTGGTTTCTGCTCAATTATTAATTTTCTATTTGAAGTCATGTTAGAAGACACGTTTTTGCATTTTCATGTAGAATTATGAGTAATATGAACCACAAATTACATGGTTTTTTGCTGCTGCTCCTATAGTTCAAAACAGTTGACTGAGAAGGGTTAAAAACATAACATAAAAACATGATTGTCTCTCTTCTACCAATGTGCTACAATAAAGAAGTAGCTAAAACAAAAATCTGTTGCCGATAAAATTAGTTTTAGACTTAAAAACATTAATATTGATAATCACAGAAAAGGAGAAAACAATGAGTATGTAATCCAATTTAATCAACAATATTGTTTTTCAGATTCAGAAGCAGTAAAAAGTTCTCAAAAATGTCATATATTGCATTATTGGTCTAGGTTTGTCTAAGACATACCCACTTTTATCAGCTCTGGCCATATTTTGTACTATTGGATGGAATTACATCTTGATAAAAATTATATAACAAAGTTTATAGATGAGTGGAATTTATACTCCAGAAATCCAAAAATCAATAATTTTGATTTTTTATTAAGCCCTTTAATAAAAGAGATAGTCTTCTAAATTAAAAAGTTAATAAAGGAACCAGCTAACTTTTCCTGTTATAGAGATAAGAATCAAGTTTATATGAAAAAAGTTCTTGTCTATCTTTAAAATATCATATTTTATTTTGCTCTGTAATAAAGAACCAATAATAAAATGGAAAAAAAATCAATTCTCAAGAAACTCATTCTTATCTGAACAGAGAAAGATGAATATTTGGAACCAAGTCAGTAGGAGCCCAGAAAATTTGAAATAAAATGCCATACTTGTTTTAATTAAGTATAATAGAATCACAATTTGAACGGTTTATAAAAAATAAAGACATAGGCTCACTACGTTTTAGTGACACAGGATAATGGAGCTAATTATGTAGTCATTTTCTGTACATCTCCCTTGATACCAAGACTACTTTATACTTTAGGGATTTTAAAATTTCACTCTTGTCAAATTCTAAAATTTTCTAAGATCTACTAGTTCCCCTATTTCTATTGTAGGCTGGAAGAAAATGAAAAACAAACAAACAAACAAACAAACAAACAAACAAACAAAATATTATGTGAAGTGACCATAGTATGTAACACATTGATATTTAAGAGGCAGGACTTGGAGAGAACAAAAAATTTAAATCACTGTTTTTCAGAAATAGAGAAAAAGACTATAAACATTCTGTTTTAATGGAAAGCCAAAATTTGCAAGATAATAATAACCAAGTGTGAACTACCATATTCTTGATTTAAGAAGTTGATAAAGGAGCCAAAAAATAAAAATAAAAATAAAAACCTGGATACATACCATTATGTCAAATTTAATTTTTAAAAATTGTTAAAAGTATTTTTGAGTTGGGTTAGAAACTACATTAAAGTCATGTTTTCATACACACATACACACTTATTTTTCATATACATACACATCTATTTATGACAGTGTTGGTAAACTTAATTCAAATAACAGCAAAATAATCCTAACATTCATGTTCACTTTATTTAACTAGAGACTTTACGTTGCCCAATGAATTTGCTTAATGAATCAAACAATTGTGAGTGGTCCAGGACCAGTATGTATTTATTTATTTTCTTAGAAATTGCTGCAATTTGAGGGAGATAGGAGGCAATGTAAATATGCTTTTAAATATCAAAGAATGTAGTTTGAAATCAAACTCATGTAATACTACATACCCTCCTCACTGGATGCAAAGTTGGAAAGTATCCTTGTCTGACACAGCATTCATTAACTCTACATACTCATGGGGACTTCCCCTGTACCACACACTGCCAGGTACTATGCACAGAGCAAACAACAAAAGAGTTCATGTTCCTCATACCTCAAAATAATAAGAACCATTTATGACAAACCCATAGCCAATATCACACTGAATAGGCAAATGCTGGAAGCATGCTCTCACCACTCCTCTCACCAGTCCTACTCCACACAGAATTGGAATTTCTGGTCAGGACAATCAGGTAAGAGAAAGAAATAAAGTGCATTCAAATAGGAGGAGGGAAATTAAAAATGTCTCTGTTTGTAGATGACATGTTCCCATATCCAGAAAACTCCATCTTATCAGCTCAAAACCTTCTTAAGCTGATAAGCAACTTCAGGAAAGTCTTAGGATAACAAATCAATATGCAAAAATCACAAGATTTCCTATACACCAAAAATAGACAACCAGAGAGACAAATCATGAATGAACTCCCATTCACAGTTGCTGCAAAGACAATAAAATACTTACTTACTTAGAAATGTAGCTAACAAGGGAGGTGAAGGACCTGTTCAAGGAGAACTACAAACCACTGCTCAAGGGAACCAGAGAAAACTCAAGATGAAAAAAACCTACCACGCTCATGGATAGAAAGAATATTGTGAAAATGGCCATACTGCCCGAAGTAATTTATAAATTCAATGCTATTCCCATTAAACTACCATTGGCATCCTTCACCAAATTAGAAAAATTAAATAATAATAATAATAATAATAAACCATTTTAAAATTCATATGGGCTGGGCACCCACCTATGGTCTCAGAAGTTTGAGAGACTGAGGAGGGTTGATCACTTGAGATCTGGAGTTCAAGACCAGCCTGACCAACATGGTGAAACCCTATCTCTACTAAAAATACAGAAATTAGCTGGGCATAATGGCGGGTGCCTGTAATCCCAGCTACGTGGGAGGCTGAGGCAGAAGAATTGCTTGAACCTGGGAGCAGAGGCTGCAGTGAACAAGGATAGCATCACTGAACTCCAGCTTGGGCGACAGAGCAAGATTCTGTCCCCTCAAAAAAAAAAATAAATAAATAATATGGAGTCAAAACAGAGCCTGTATAGCTAAGATAATCCTAAGCAAAAAGAACAAAGCTGGAGGCATTGCATTACCTGACTTCAAACTATACTACAAGGCTATAGTAACCAAAACACCATGGTACTGGTACAGACGCATAGACCCATGGAACAGAATAGAGAGCTCAGAAATAAGACTGCACATTTACAAACATCTGATTTTCAGCAAACCTGACAAAAGCAATGAGGAAAGGAGTCCGTATTTAATAAATGATGCTAGAAGAACTGGTTAGCCATATGCAGAAAATTGAAACTGGATCCCTTCCTTACACCTTATACAAAAATTAACTCAAGATAGATTTAAGACTTAAATGTAAAACCCAAATCTATAAAATTCCTAGAAGAAAATCTCAGAAATATCATTCAGGACATAGGTAAAGGCAAAAATTTCATGATGAAGATGACAAAAGCAATTGTACAAGAAAAAATTGTCAAATGGGATCTAATTGAACTAAAGTGCTTCTGCACAGCAAAATAAACTATCAGAGTCAACAGACAACTTACAGAATTGTAGAAAATTTTTGCAATCCACCCATCTGATAAGAGTCTAAATTCAGAATCTACAAGGAACTTAAATAAATTTACATGAAAAAAACAATCCCAGTAAAAAGTGGACAAAGGACATGAACAGACACTTTTCAAAAGAAGATATGCCTTTGGCCAACAAACATATGATAAAAAGCTTAGCATCACTGATTATTAGAGAAATAATCTAATAGTACTTCATAATATTAGATAGTACAACAATAGTACTTCATACTATGTGGCCCAGCAATCCCATTGCTGGGTATATACCCAAAAGAATATAAATAATTCTACTGTAAAGATACACACATGCATATGTTCATTGCAGCACTGTTCACAAGAGCAGAGACGGGAATCAACCCAAATGCCCACCAATGATAGACTGCATAAAGAAAATGTGGTACATATACATCATGGAGTACTATGCAGCCATGAAAAGGAATGAGATCATGTCCTTTGCAGGAACATGGATGGAGCTTGAAGCCATTATCCTCAGCTAAATAGTTCATGTTCCTGCTCTCATGGAACACATTATTCATCTGCTACACACTTGACTGAAACAACATGTTTTTATTATGTCTTATATGGTGCCCAATAAAAACAATAATCAGTGTGTCATTTGAAGGCACACATTATTTGAATCACTCCTTAAATCAAAATCATACAATGGCTCAATATTGGCTAAAAAGTTATGTTGAAGCCCTTTGGCATTTAAGGTTTTCTCTTCTCACATATTATGTCACCCAACCCGTGCCCTTCTACATGTGTCTTGATTCCTGACATCAGCAGAGCATCCATATGCTCTACACTGGATCCCTGGCTCAGAGGACTATATTATTTCATATATCTGGCATTTTTAAGTTAGTTATTACTATATATATATATAAAGTGTGTGTATATATATGTGTGTGTATATATATTATTTTAAAAGGGAGTTTCGCTCTTGTCGCTCAGGCGGGAGTGTAATGGTGGGATCTCGCCTCACTGGGTTCAAGCAATTCTTGTGCCTCAGCCTCCCAAGTAGCTGGGATTACAGGTACACATCACCATGCCTGGCTTGTTTTTTGTATTTTTAGTAGAAACGGGTTTGCCATGTTGGGCAGACTGGTCTCAAACTCCTGACCTCAGGTGATCTGCCCGCCTTGGCCTCCCAAAGTGCTGGGATTACAGGTGTGAGGCACCATGCCCAGCCAATCTTTTGATTTTCTATTGATAAAGCCAAGGTTTGAAGGTAATAAATTCATTTCTGAGGTCTCACAGCTAATACATATTCCCTTGAGATTCAAAAGTGTATGTGACTCCAATGAAGGATTTTTAAAAAATTTCTTCATGATGGATTACCTGTCTATCCCTCAAGTACTTATTCAAACATCACTTTTCACATAGTTTTTCATTATTGGAGATTATCTTTCTCACCTCTGAACTCTGATATTATAAAATATGACAATGACACAATTCTCACCTTTTGCAAAAAGTACAATTACTTCGCATATGCCTCATTTTTTTTTCTTTCTCAAATGTAAACTTTGTAAGAAAAAGGACTGTGTTATGTGCATCACTAAGTTACCCATAAGAGTTGTTGAGCAGAATGGGTAATACATGGAAAGTGTCAGATCCGTGCATCTGTCACTAGGCCCAGTGTTGGAGACACTGTGGTGCCTATGCAGATCACCTTTACTAAAGAGGAGTACCCAGTTCCTCGCTGGTGCTTCTGCAGTGAGGACTCACACATACCCTCCTTCTCCAGATCATTGTGCTTAACGGATTGAAGCAGCTTTGCTTGGAATATCACAGCCCCAAGGCCAATTAATGATTGATGGGGCATATCAAAAGCAGATCCCCTTGCCTGTCATAAATTTACGCTCTAAAGCATAACTATAGTGACTCAAACCAAGACTAGACTCGACCTGAAACACAGTTTACTGGGCTCCTTCCTCTGCTCTCCCTCTGTCTTTTACAGCTTTCTTCTGTATACCACTTCCTTCATAAATGACTTTTACAACAATCCCCATTTTAGGCACTTTCCTAAGTACTATCTTACAGGTAATTCCACAAACTGCTGCCAGTGTCATTTTTTAAAATAAAAACATGTTACATATACTATCAATATGATTATGTAAAATGTTAACACCAAAGAAGTATTTTAAAAATAAAAACCGTGTTTGAGATTATGCCACTTAACTTGCCAATATCTTCAAATAGCTCTCTTCAAAGCTAGAATAGAATTCAGTTTTGCATTTGAGTCACCTTGCCATCCTCATATCTTCCATTCTCCTGAATTGTTTATATGCTTCTAGGTATGCTAACCTTCTTGCTGTTTTCATGCTGAGCTAATTCCTTACTCAGAACTTACTATTCTATTTTCTTAAAAAGCTCTTTCCTCACATATTCACATCACTTGCTGCCTCTCTTTATTTAGGTGTCTCTTTCAATATCACCCTTCTAGAGATGACTTCTCTGATCATCATAACTAAAATAGTACCTCCATTGACAGCCCATCTCTTACTATGATTTTCTGTATAGCATGTATAACAATGTGACAGTATATATAAATACATATTCTATCCTCTATAGGAAGATAGACTTCATGAGGGTTAGAACTTGCTTCATATTGTTTCTTCAGCATTTGGAACAATTTCTGGCACATGGTAGATATTCAATGGGCATTTGTTAATGAGCATGAGATGAAAACAAATTTATGTACATAGACTAAATTTCAAATACTGCTTCTCCCCATAAAGATTAAAAACAATCTAAATGAATGGAAAGGTATCAAACACATTATAAATGAATAGGAATATAAGCACTAAATATAAATAAACTACAGAAGACATTGTAATGCATAATTTTAAAATATGTACTATAAACCATGCATTATGTCCTTTCTGTGGAGGTGTAGTCGGTGGAGGGTAGGTGGCACAGAGCCCCTGAGGCTCCCATAACCTGAAAATGTTTTATTGAAGAAGTGCTAAAGTTAGAGGTACAAAATGGGAAAGATACAACTAGGTAGACAAAGGTTGACATTCTAGATAAGGGAGCTGGGAGAAAAATGACATGAGAGAAAGACCATGGAGACAGTAAAGATCTGAACTCCTGGGCAGTCCTGAGAACACAGATGGTTTGGAGTAATAACTTAGATGGCAAGTGGGCCAGGGAGACTAAAGTCATATTGAAAAGAGCTCTGAATGAAAAGGCAAAAAAAACCATCAAAACTGTCTTTTACATAAAGTATATTTAGCCACCTATTTGTTCATTTCATCTCTCATCCTCTAGGAATATTTCCCAATATCCCAACTTAATTAACATATATCTGTAAAAATACCCTAATGTAAATGTATTGCTATAAACTGTCAAAATTTCATGCCTGTGAAATCTGACTAATAGCCTTACAACTTAGACAAGTTTCAAATCATATTCCTGTAATATAACTGACAGTATAAGTACCTGATTTTCAAGTTGAGAAAATAGGACATGAAATGTAAACCAACTTCATAAAATCATACTATAAATGGTTTTATCCACTTGTAAATATACTTATATTGCCAACAACACTATAAATAACTGTTAACAGTAATATACTTGTCATTCTGCTTCATATTTTAGCATGTGTCAGAAATCATACCTGTGGGTCTCTGTAAGTTCTTTTGTACTAAAATCCTTCTCAGTGTACCATCCATGGCTGCTGCTTCTATGTGGGAGTGATCTCCAACAACAGTCCAGTACATCATCCTGAAGAGAGTGGGTCAAAGAGGTTAGCCTGCTGATGGTGCTGCTATAACCCAACTCTGCTCCACAAAGCAGTGACTCTTCAGACCACATGCCCCAGAGTCACCCCAGAGTCTCTTAAAAAGTAGATTCCCGGGTACAACTCAAAACACACAGAATGAGAGCCTCCAATAAATGGCCTGGGAATCAACATTTTAACGAAAGTCTTGCCTACACACATTAAAATTTGAGAATCATTGTATACTATGATGTACCATAGCTCATTATTTAATATCCAAAATTCAATTTTGAAACTTTCATTAAAACTCAGAGAAAAAATATTTCCACCACATGAAACTTCCCTTTTGTTTTGACACAATAGTTATGTTATTATGGATGCTGTATGAACATGCTATTTTTTTTTTAATAGAGAAGTAACTATTTTCTCAAACAGAAATTATTCTTTAATTTGGATGACTGCTTAATTCTAATAGTTAGGTATAAGTTGTCTCTTTTTATTCAGGAGTTATCAATCCACTTTATGGATGATTAAGAGTTTTAGTTAACATTTTTCTATTTACTTTTTGGCCATTGCTTGTAGGTTTACATCTCTAACTAAAAGAAGGAAATGTTTGTAATACACTCTTTAAATTTGCGCGTGTGTGTGTATGTGTATATATACACACATACACACACATATATATATATATTCCTTCATCTTTTATTACCATAAAGAAAAATGTTAGTACTCTGTATGTAATATGTTTGATATTATGTTTAATATTTTGACAATTCAATTTTAGATCAAAAACAGAGGTTGTGTCTATCACACCAAGCTCATTCTTCTGCAATGCACACATATAACCATGCACAGACACACACACAGACACACAGGTACACTGAATGCATAATACAGGAATATTTCAGAAAAAAAAATATATTTCGTATCATCATTTGGTGGGAATAGGACATGCTTTTTTACAGAAGAAATAGTACAAGGATATTTAAAGGCATGTGACACTATTACACATTGAACTCATTACAGAGACAAAATCTACAGAGCATAATTTCTAAAAAGGATATTCATTTTCAAGAAATAGGAATACTAAACCATTAACCTACCCTCTTTTAGGATTTACAGCAATAGCATACGGTTCTCCAGCCATATTTGTTAAGAGTCTGGTGCAGTTGGGGCCATTCAGCTGCCCTACGTTAATAGAGTACCTCAGACTGGTCCAGTGAGTAGTGTAGTAACTGAACCAGTGCATTCTAGAATGATCAGTCCAGTAAATGTTTCCAGCCACCCAGTCAACTGCAATGTCCCTGGGCCTTTTAAATTCAGGACACTACAAGGAAACAAAACAACACATCACAGTATTTTCAAAAGGAAATTAGTGGAGTTTTCTGTATCTTTGCATTGAAGTTATGGGGGAATTATAAGAACATAGTCATGTGTTAATTGCTACATGCAATTAGATGTCAAAAAGATACCTAATGCTATTTTCAATCTTCGTAGATGTATTATCTGCCTGAATCTTAATTGTACAGATCACTGGAGTTTAACCAGATTGCACCTGTTTAATCATTACTCTGCTAAAATATTTACAGAACCATATGAGGTTCACCCATGACTTCTGGCAGTCAATATTTTCTTTAGAGTAACCATAATTCTGATAGCTAACACCACAGATTAAACAAATTAATGTAAAAAACAATCATAATCTTTCATTCCAGAATTTTTTTGTTTGTTTCTTTGCGACGGGAGTCTCACTCTGTCGCCCAGCCTAAAGTGCTGTGGCGCGATCTCGGCTCACTGCAAGCTCCGCCTCCCGGGGTTCACGCCATTCTCCTGCCTCAGCCTCCTGAGTAGCTGGGACTACAGGCACCCGCCACCACGCCCAGCTAATTTTTTGTATTTTTTAGTAGAGACAGGGTTTCACTGTGGGTTAGCCAGGATGATCTGGATTTCCTGAGCTCGTGATCCGCCCGCCTCGGCCTCCCAGAGTGCTGGGATTACAGGTGTGAGCCACCGCGACCGGCCATTCTAGAATTCTTTTGTTCAACATCATGACTGTGAAATGTATCCTTGTTTTGCATATATCAATTTTTAATATTTCCATTGCTCAGTAGTATTTGTTCAAGTATTTGCTCAAGTGGATTTGTACTGACGATATCCACTTGGCTTGTTTACAGTTTTAGGGCATTACAACTAAAGTTATGGATCGTTTAGCACTTTTTTGTTGGTGGTGGTGGTGGATACAAACACTCAATTCATTTGGGTATTTACCAAGGAATAGAATTAATGTTTTCAAGTTTATGCACACTTAGCTTGATAGGATACGCTAGAAAAAATTTTCAAAGAGTTTGTAGCAATGTACAATCTTTTCAGCAATGTAAGAAAAACTCAGATGCTCTGCATCCTCACCACACATAATTTTGTCCTACAATTGAAAAAATCATTAGTACAGCTAGACACATTTAGGAAAATACTACATTTTAACATCTTTTGAGGAAAGTCAGAATATCTGTTATTCATCTTACATTTGATAGGTTGGATTGTCCATTCTGTTTTACTGTATTACTGTGAGACAATGGTAACAGAATTCATTGAGACTAGACAGCAAGGAAAATAACTTATGTTCTGTGCCCTTCAATTAACTTGATCACTTTGAGCAGGAACTAGTGTAGTACTTAATTGACATGACCAGGTTTATTGTGCATAACCAAAAGTGAGAAGGTATTCGCAGGTGTATTATGGCAAGAGTAGAAACAATTATTTGAAGGTGATTACAACTAGATGTGTAATCAATATGTAACAGCATCTTTAAGACCTGGGCAGCAGTGGAAATATGAGTTTTTAACACATGAAAGCTTCTTGTGTGGGTTCAGAGGAACCAGTATTATCAATCAGTGGACTTGGATTAAAAGAAAAGAAACTGACCATCTCGAAAAGAACATGGAATGCCAAGAAACAGGAATTGCAAATCACTGTCTGCTGCATGATTACTGGGATCTCAAACAAGGAAAATATGGCTTACATTAAACACAGAATCCGTAGACAATTTCTAATGCCATTTATCATCAGTTCTTTGACCTATTGGACGTTAAAACTGAAATTATGAAATTGTATTATCCTATTTCTCTACTTTAACAATAAATGTTATCCACATACCCAGTGATATCTCAGTTATCTGAATTAAATGTAAAGCACTCTGCAATACAGTATACTCTAGAAATGTTATATAAATAATGTTCGCAGATGTTTAGAATATAAATGTCCTAGTCAAACCCAAAAATCATTTTCGAATGCTCCAGTATCATTTAAGCTAACTGTATTTTTATTTTCAACTTGTCATCATTTAAAAGTAAATATATCACCAAATGGCATGTGCATGTCAGTGTGAATCATAAATCTATAAACATGAAAGACAATGGGAAAAATCACCATTATAAGCTATTTTAAACCTGTTGAAGCATATGTGTAATTTTCTAACACTAGCAAAACAAATCTTTATGACACAAAACTTATAATGCTCTTTGTCTGATTGAACATAGAAAAAGTATCTATTTTCCATTTGTGAGATGTAAATGTATACACCTGATTTTCAGTACTCATGGTATCCCTGATAAAATATGTCATATTCCATGCAAGTTCCACTTTTGTTGAATTTAGGATTTTCATTTCATTAAATTCATTCTCAAAAAATTCTGATTATCCTTCAACTTTAGACTTCTAACCCTAGACTGATGACAGTTAGTAATCCAGTTTCCTAATGTTCGTAGAGCATTCAGAAGTTTGATTTGGTGATACTTTTTCAGGTAAACAGACTGGTGAAGATTTTACTAAGGGTGAATTATAGAAGGATAAATTTAGGTCACATTTCTAGGGTAAAAAACATAGATTAGAAAAAAGAAAAAAAACCTTACTTTTCATGATAAGTACAAGATATATTGATGACTTGCAGAGCCATTTAATATATACATTTACTCTCCTTCTTCTGGAATAAGGAATCTCTAATGTCATTCAAGTAACAACTAAAGTAGTTAGAATATGGGGTAAAAAATAGGCACATACAATTAATTCAACCTAAGGTTATGATATCATAAATGACAAGATGATTCTCAGAGAATAATGGCAGAGGGTGAAGATGTTATCAGGTGTTCATCCTCAGTGACTCACAGTAAACTAAATACTTACTTATTTTCAACAATGAAGAGAGAATAACAAAACAAAACAAAAGACAATCAGGAGGAAGAGGGAAGAAGGGAGCGGAGGCGAAAGAAGACAACCTCCCTCAGAATAAGGTGGCAACATTATTAACCTACTCTCAACCTATAGCCAAATTAGGAAATCACCCTTTGTACTGAGCTTCGTAGGAAAGAAATAATCTCTACCATTCACATCTTGACCAGGATTTTGAATAGTATTAACCACATAAAAGGGAGCCTTATATTGAATGGATGTTCACTGGAGGATGAAAGGCAGAAACCCCTGTTGGATCTTCATATTATGATCACACAATTTATTTAAGGAGAGGTACCAAAATCAATCAGGTAAATATGAAAAATGGAAAAACACAGGATAAGTACACTGACATTCTGAGAGTGGAAATGAAGATTGACATGGGAAAACAGAACAGGAGAGCTAAGCTCCTTGCCTTCAAAAATCATGAAACAAAACAAACAAGCATACCAGATTGGAGAGAAGAAAATATACAACTTTCATTTGCCCCATTGACAAGCTCACCAGACAGGTACACCCATGAAATAGAGACGCTAATTAAACGTGTCCTGTTTGAGAGACTGCAGGAGCATGCAGCTTCCCTGACAACAAAAGGGTATTTCTCATCTTGTTGAACAGAGTGGAAGACACATTTTGGCTGCTTTCTTCAGACAGATGATTTCTTTTCTAATAAGCTCTCTAAATACACAGCCAGTTTTGAGACCTGAGGGATCCTTCTTTGTAGGAATGCATTAGTCAAATGAATGAAACCCTTACATCTTACAAAAAAAGTGACAGTTTGTAACAAAATTAGAGGTTACTAGTTTAAATTACTAATCCTTTATAGGTGTAGATTGTAAGGTATCTGTCACAATTCCAGCTTCAATAAACTGAAGATGTAAGTCACTGAAGACATTTGTTTTAAAACAGGAAAAGGGAAAAATCTGTGACAGGGGAGTTCAAGCATTTGAGCCATGAAAATACTGCTGTCTGTTTTAATAAATTTCTTACAGTTAGCAATACGCTTTAAGAAAATTTAGTTTACACAAGGATAAACTGAGGTGATATCACATATTTTATTGATTTGTGATGTTTTTCATCTTGGTGTATATCTGAGAATAGAAAATTCAACTAATTTTATTAAAGTTACTTATCTCCCAATGGAATTATATTAAAACAAAGATGTAAAACCACCCTCAAGAAATTGTGTGTGGATGTCTCTGTAGGATATTTTGCGAAATGAAAAGACTATTGACATTTTGCTTCTCAAAATATGAATCAGATTCGCTTCCAATGAGTGAATGTAAAATAATAACTACACAAATTCTAAATTTTACTAAATTCTATTGACTTAGTCATGTTATTAAAATATCCAAATATTTCATATGTCAGTCAAGGAGCTCACATAGCAGTGGAGAAATCCTAAGAGAACCAAGAAAAAGTTATATTTAGAGCTAGAATGTGTACGAGATTAAAAAAAAAAAAAAAAAACAATTGCAGAGATGAAAAACTTTGGCTTCTATTTATGATTTATACTGAACAATAGATTATTTCAATCTGAATAATTTTAAGGTTGCAACGATCTACATTAGGACCATGTCAACTTGAAATAATCTTCTGTTAGATGAAAAAGAAACTTCAGATGTAATTCTCAGATGGTTTTTTAAAAAGACCAAATTTGTCGTTGAATTAAAGACTCAATAATGTATGTGATTTTGTTACTCTTTTTTTTTTTTAAGCCTCTGTTACTCTTTTTTTTTTTTTTAAGCCTCTTCAGTGTTCTTTAACCTTTTATTCCTGATTCACCTCTGTCCTCCATAAAGAGAAAGACTGGCTCTCTAAACTTTTATTCACACTATCAGAAAAACAAAGATATCACAGAAGATTAGAAAACACACTGAATTTGGAATCAGAAGAACTGATTTAAATCCTAGTCCTAGTTTCTCTCCATATTATAAGGTGTATAAAACAAAAACTTTGGATTAGATGATCTTTGAACATCTCTAGCTCCTAAACAGTAAATTATGTAACAGTTCGAAATATTATCCATTCTGAGTAAGTCTGCATTTCGTATAGCCTTAAATGCATATCCATGGTAATTGCTCATTTTTAGGCATTAGTAAG